GACTTTGCACTTTTTGGTAAGCCATGCCCAGAGCTTGTCTGCTCCATCTATGGAGTGTGTTTGATCTTAAACTGCAGTTCATTTGTGGTTTGGTCTGTTGCCACTTGGGAGCCATCCTGGTGGTAGTGGAGTAGTCAGGTGTGGTGAGGGATATGCAGAGGGATATTGCTGATCCCTCTGTCCTAACAAGGATCTTTATTGGGATCCTACAAAAGAGAGACATAGGTTAGAGACAGCCTGTGGCTTCTTTTTGGGGCTGTTACTGCCTGTGGGAATTAAAGGCCTCTAGTTCTTGCTGCCTTTCCAGGGCAGTGGTAGAAGCAGCAGCACAGTAATTGCTAAAGCAGCCATTGTAGCTTTGAAGTATACACACTGATTTTTTTCAAAGTATTTAATCCCTCTTCTCCCCTGAGCCTGCTCTCTTTAGAGTTCTTGAAGCATGTTAAGGAAGCAGGTATTGTTGATGGCTTGCCTTATTCTCCCTTTATTTTCACAGCAAAATACACATCTGCTAAGTGCTTGTATACAGCTTTACATTCTGCCTGTGTTAAAGGCAGCCATGCTATTTTTTTAATATTGCCCTTTTTTATGTTCCTTTGAAAATCTAAAATATTTTAAGGTTGTAGGGTTGTTTTATTTTTAGATAATCATCCCAGTAATCAATCCTCCATAGAGCAGTATTTTCTAAAGAACTTAGGGAAGTGTTGCTTCTTTTACAAACTCTGTTTGCTCTGTAACAAGTTCTTTAGGGCTTGCCTTAACATGAGAGTGTAATTATTCTTATGGAGAGCGGTGAGGAAAGCAGGTGGAGTGTTTCTCTGCCTATCCAGAGCAGTCAATTATATACTTTCTTTTCCAGGGGCAGAGCTCCACATGTCCCTCCAAGCATTAGACTTGGCTGTGGTGAGTGAAGAGCAAGCCCAGTTGTTGGTTCCAAGTGCCTGGAAACCCTGGAGTGCTCAGCCTGCTTTAGGTCTTCTGGAGAGGCCAGACAGTCTGGTGGAGGCTGATTCTGTTTCCCACTCCTGCTGTTTCTCTCAGCTTTTGCCAGTGTGAGCGTTGGAACTGGGAGGGAGAGAACAGCTTTGAGGGCAGAGGAGGAATAGCCACCAGCCCTGAGGAGCTTTGGAGCAGCTTGCCTGAGGTGAGAGGCACAGACAGCTAAAGGCAGAAGTGCAAATCTAAGCAGTCAGGAGCCTTAGTCAGAACTTCCAAATCAGAACATAGCACTTGGAAGCAGGTGGTGCAGTGAGAAAACAACCTTTTTCTCTTTGCTTTCACTTTAATGAGGTAAATGAGGTTATTATATAACACCAGAGCATATTTGTCTTGATCATGAAAGTTGACATAGAAAAACTAATTGAATATAAAATGGCTGGAGCCCCCAGATGCTACAGCTCTTTTTCAGAACCTCTTTGATCACAAAAAAGAAAAAAAAAAGGCAAAAAAAAAAAAGAAGAAAAACTCTGTGTTGCTGTTTCTTCTTCTTTGTGTGACCCATTGATGGTCACACCACTAATGATTAAATGTCTTGGGTGATCTGACATCTGGTTTTGTGACTCATCCTTTCTTTGGGCACATGTGTCCATTTCTCACTGTAGCATCAGAGTATTTCATGTCAGCTGTCATAATTCCTGCATTGCTGTACTTCCTGCTGGAACACACCCTCTGTAAGATTCTGGAGTGATACTGGAACCAGTTTGTTGCTTTGCTGGAAGTCCCTTCTGTATGTAAGATATAAGCAGTTTATTTGCACCTGTGGTGTTTGTGTTACATGAAGGCTTGGCACCCATTGGATAGGGTAGAAGAGTTGACATAGTCTAACAGCCAGCACTCACTTTTTTATTTTTTATGTACTAATTCTGATAGTGGAGCATGGCAAGAAAATGTACTGCTTCCTTCTCAGTGCTCTGGAGTTTGAGATGAAGGAAGAGTCAGTCTTACTGAGTGATGTTCAGCCTTTGCTTTCCTTCCTGACTTCTGCTGGGAATATTTTGGATTTCCCTTTAAAAATATTCCTTATTCCTGCAGTCTCTTTCTGTTAAGTGAAGCAATTCTTCTTTTATTCTAACCACATGGTGGCCCTTACTCAAATTGTTTGTAAAACTGGCTTATTTCTCTAATTCATTTGGTCCTAGGAGGTAACAAATGGCAGCTGTAGCATGGGATTGTGCCCAGGTCTAGTCATTTAGTTGTTGCTGTTTTCCCTCCTCCTTGCTATGGCTCTCCAACTTGTTCTCTTGCACAGAAAGAATTGTCTCTTGTATCTGTCTCTGGCACTCATTTCCAGAGTCTGCCATGTTTCTCCACTTTTTGTTTTAGGAAAGGTGAGAATCTGAAGCTCCTTTGAGAGTCTTCATGGGGAACCTGTGAAGGTGATGTTTACCAACAGACAAACTGTGGCAGTGTGAGCAGGAGCACCCAGGGATTTTCCTGCTTTGCCCAGTACCGGGGGCTCCTCTCTTTGCAAGGGAGCAGTGGGACCTGAGGGAGAGTCTATAGCTTCTGACTGTAGGCAAAGAAATGGTTTGGGAGTAGCTAGAGGAGCACTGCTCCCAAGTCAGCAGCTGAACTGAGCTTGGTTTTAGGAGGGACACTAGGAGAGTTAGGATTGGTGAGAGTCTGAGAGATCCTATTGGGGCTGTGTAATCTTGCCTGACCTCAAGAGGTGAAAATCTTGGCTTTCTTAGGATTGCCTTTACACAGGGATGGTTTTGGTAATGAAACAAGTTTCAGAAGTTTCCTTCTTGCCCTTTCTTCCCCCTGTGTTTCATGACTGGACAATTACAGCTGTTTATCTGGCTGTGGTAAATTGGGTCATTGAGCTGATTTGAGTTAAAAATAGGCATCCCAAACATCAGGAGCACTGATGCAATAGCAGAGTTTTTGACCAGTGGCAGGGAGGATTATAAACTCCTTTTGGGGCCAGAGTAACTCATAACCATGTCCTTGCTGTGTTATCTGGCCCCTTTATTCCTTGGTGACAGTCAAATAGCAGCTTTGAAAGGAAAAATATTGAAGCTTGATTGTGGTCAGCAGATCAAAAACTGCTGTCTCAAAATTAGCTGTACTCATCTCAGATTAACTTGTATGCTTTACAGCTCTAAATAATAATTTCCTGTCTGCAGAGCAGGCCCAGTCAAGAAGACTAATCAGTGTGCAAACATTGCTGCTAAAGAGTGCAGATACAGAGTCTTGCTGCCAGTGATGCATGAAATGAAACAGAGTAGGTCTAGGCTTCCTAGACTGGCAGCAGAGCCAGCTTTGTAATGGCTGGGCTTGATCTTGCAAATTTGTTAACTGTGGAAAGGCTTCTACATACTCTTAAATCTCATATGATTCATTACTAAACAGCCCCACAAAAAAAGCCCCAAAACTCAGCAAACCCTACATCCCAGAAGAATACCCTTAAATAACAGTCACATCACATTTACAGAAAGCTTTTTCACCCCTACTGTGGTATCATGTTAAAGCAAAAATTTGGAGAGGGTGGTGTTTGTTAAATACACAGAAATGGCTGCAGGCAAGTCTAATCTGCTCTCTCTTTGTTTTGTGAAGCAAGATAGGGAATTGAAGGAATGTAAAAAGACCCCTCTTGTTTTCACATATTAAACTGGTTTTTTTTGTGTTGTGACTCTCTTCAGGCTCCTGATTTGTGAATTTCTCCAGTATGGGCTGTGTTTCTATGTCACTCTCAGCCTGCACTGCTGTAGAGCCAGGAATGCAGGTTGCACACAGCACTGCTCTGAACTGGCTCCTGCAGACTTCCAAGTACCACACAGGGAATGTGGTGCCTCCTGAGATATCCCTGTCTGTGATGCCTTGGATTTTCATCCTTTGTTTTGCTTCTCCTCAGCTTAATGAATATTTTCTTATACAGATCTACAGAGCCCTGTGTGATGCAACCCTGTAATGAGCACCTGTAAACTGTCTGGTTTTTACAGCCTGAATGAGAAGAGACACAGAGAAAACAAGTTTGGAGGGAGTTGTGCAGACCTAGCAGTAGAGTTTGGGTTAGAAAACTGTATGGATACTCTACTCTGTTCATTCTTTAGAACATCCTAATAGAAATGTATTTGTGAGTTTGCAATTTATAATGTGCTCAGAGAAATGGATTTTTTTCTCTTTATGTTCTTCCAAGTCCCAGGAACTTTTTTGTTATTTTTGTGAGTAAAGTTGGGAGGCCAACTTTTTGGGAATTGCTGAGGGAGAGGTGAGCAAAGCTCAGGATGGAAACATGGGTGGTGGGTGACCTTCTCCTGGCTGAGCTGTAGAGCAGTGGTACTGGCCCAGCTGCTTCCAGAAGTGTGCATACAGCTCTGGTGTGTGGCACACAACTGAAACATTTTGGTGACTGGTCAGGCTAGAGATGTGAAAGGATTCTAAAATAAGGAGTCTCCTTTCAAAATAGTTACTAAGGAAAAATCCAGTCCAGAAGCAGCAAAGAGCTCCTGGGAGTGTCAGAATGGAAGAATTCTCATTAACCTACTTGGAGCAAGGGGGTGTGTGCCCATGCATGCCTTGTAATTTCATGGCTTCTGTTCTTGGAAGGGTCTGATGTGTGTTTGTTGGAGCAGAAGTGTAAGATGAAATACTGCCTTTTGCTAATATGGTTGGATGACCTGAAATATATCCATGTGGAATAGGAGGAAAGGGAGGAGGGGACGGGGTGATTTGTGATGAGTCTTATTGCCACCCTGAACCGACTTTGCTTCTAACTCTGGACTTTGTTTGCAGCACAATCCTGAGCAGAGATTTGTTAAGTAGCATGCTAAAGTAAAATTATGGTTTCCAAGAACATTCAGCTAAGCAAGAGAGTCTCAGCTCACTGTAGCAGCCTTGAATGTATTAAAAATCCAATATGTCAGCCTTACTGCTTGTGCCTTTTTCCTCAGCTTACCAATTCTGTTGCAAACGCTTTCCTAAAATAATTAGTGGAGCAGAAAGTAGAAGTCCCTTGAATAACTGCTGTGATAAAATGGCAGTGTGTTTAATGTGTAATGACCTATTTGTTCTTTCCCTTAGGTACAATGGCCACAGTAGCCCAGAAGCACTTTTTGGAAGGACAGCCATACTCAGTGCCCCTGATCCAGCCAGACCTGCGCAGGGAGGAGGCTGTGCAGCAGGTGGCAGATGCACTTCAGTATCTGCAAAAGGTGTCAGGAGATATCTTCAACAGGTAAAGTGCCCTCCTGGGGGCTTGGGTGCTTAGCATTCAGCAGTGCACAACACAGTGCTGGAATTAGGTTGCAGCAGTGAAGGGGAAAGGGCATTGGGTTGGCAAACAATGGAAGTTCAGAAAAGAGATGAAAAAGGACCAGATGCACTTCAATATGAGTTTATTAGATTTGAGTCTGTCAAAGTTAAGCATAATGAAATGGCTGCAGTTTGCCAGAGATTGTTGGTGATGAATTTTTTATTCATTTTTATTAATGAGTAAAAATTATTAATTTTTATGCCACAAATTGCATTACTGCTTCTGCTGCATTTATCCCTTATTCCTTCCTGCTCATGCTTTGAAGGGGAGGCATTGTAATTTAGAGTATCTTGAAGATGTGTCTTTTTGAGTCATTGTACTTGAAGCAGTGAAGTAGAAAATGTCTCTTTGTTCTGATCTCTGCAATGTACAAACTGTTCTCTTTGGGCTTCTGGTGTTTCACACTTCCCTTTTTGTGTGTTGGAAGGGCTGAGTGCCCTGGGTAAGACTGGGTTTCTTGCCACAGTATCATAATCCATCAAAGTCCATCTCTTCAAGGATTTGGTCCAGATTTGGCCCCTCTTGCATATGATCATCTTTAGGATTGGATCTTTAAGGCTGTCTTTATAGCAGATCAGAGAGATTCTTGTGTTTGCTTGCAAATGATGGTAGATAGTGTGGTTCCTTTTTCTGTCCAGTGCCATCTTTGGCATCTCAGTGCTCTGGGATGGTGTGGACTGTCACTGGGAAGGAAACAGATCAGCATTTATCTTCTCATAGCCTAATCAGTAAAAGCACATGCTTTGGTTTCAGCATGTCCCATGCCTATCTAGTTTAATTTCTTATGATGTGAGCAGGATCATGACGTTCTTTCTTTGAGTTTTGGAAGGTTTTTTGAAGGGTAGATTGAAGTTCTGTGGTTTCTGATAGTGATGTTTTGAAGGGTAGCCTCTGGAGAAAGAGCAGTCTCTAAGGCTGAGCTCAGGTCACTGAGGTTAAGGTTTTCCACTGGAATAGTCCTTGTTTGGGCAAGGGCTGTGTGTGGGCTGGATTAGGTTGAACACAAGGTCTACTTCATTTGTGCTCTTCAAAGTAGGGGAACACTTCATGATCTAAGGCTGGGAGAAGGCTTTCTAGAGCTGCCCTAAACATGTGGAAAGCACTTCTCAGACTTGGGCCTGGTTGGCAGTGCTGCCCCTCTCTGTGGGGTAAATGAAGCTCTTGATAATACAGGAGTTGCTCTTTCTGTGTCTCTATTTTCCCTGTTTTTCCTTTCCATACTGCTGTCTAACACAGTACCCTGTAATTTCCCTAGGGAGATAAGCCTGCTGCTTTGTATGCAAGTCACTCCTGAGTACTGAGCAGTGACTGTGATGCTGTTCCCTCACTCTTTGGTGCACTCATGACTTTTAATTACCAATTTTCTCCAACAACAGAGGAGGCTTCATTGGCTTCTTTGTTTGCTTTGCCTTTCCAGTGAGGTCTTGGCTCTCTGATATAGTTAAGAGTGATTTAGTAATTATGCAGGCATCTGATTAGAAGTTCTGTGACCTTGGTTGTTCCATGTCAATCAAGGGGCAAAGCTTTCAAGGTGAGAACTTTGCTACTTAGTGACCTTTTATCTTCCCCTTCCTGAGATAAGGCAGCTCTGTCTTCCATTTCCAGGAAGGAGCTGTCTTACCTGGGCAAGCTGGCTGTTTGATCTGCAGAACGGCAGCTTGCAGTGCTGATGGAGAGGAAACTTGTTCACTGTGGGAGACTTGGCTGAGTGTGTCCAGCTCCTTACTTCAGTACAGCAGAAATGCAGATGTTCTGAGGTTGTGTTGTGGGAACAGGTGAATTGGTACAGTGCTTTTGAGAGTGGCAAGCCAATCTGTACTTTGTGGAAGGTGGAGTGAAAGTGTCTCCTACTCTCTATGAAAAAGGGAATATTTCCACAACCAGATCTTTGTTTCCATTTTAGCTAATCAAAGTGTCTGCTCATAATTGTTGCTGACATGATAATTGAGTATGAAATCTTCAAATGAACATGTTGAGATGACACAAGGAAGATACCTTTCCATTTAGGGAATTAGAAGAAAATACAGGGAGCTTTCCTTCACTTCCCCCCTTTTTGGGCAACTTGGGAAATAACCCATGTGACAAGTCTCTGCCAACTCTTGTTCCCAATCATTCTCAAAGAAGCTTACTTGCTATTAACTATGGCAAGGTACCTGGTGAATGAGACTGCAGGGTTCATTAGTTCCTAGACAATCAAGGGGTGTGTGGGTGCAAAACCTCAGGTAAGCTATGGCAGAGACCTAGAGCATCCCCACTGGGCCCAGCCATGGAGAACAGGCCTGGACTGCAATCAGGAATCACTTAGAGCAGGATACATCAGCTCAGCATCCCTCTCCATCCTATCCCTAACTCTCAGGAGCAGAAACCCACCTGACTTCTTTCACATGGGCAGCCCCAAAGCTCTTGGTTGCTGGGCAATAGAGATTGATGTCTCAGGCCAGTGCTGTCCAGCAGTGCCTTCCTCTGAGCAAGTCCTGTCCTCTTGGGGCTGATATCAGTGCTATGACAAGGCCAAGAGGCTGCATGTCCTTCTCAACTTTATGCTTTAAAGTAATGGAAGTTTTAAGTTTGTGTGTGTTAACTGAATCCAAGTCATTAATCTGTTGTGGAAGCTGCAAAGGTGAGATTCACTGCCTGTAGTTACTTAGATATTAATACTGCTTAAAACATAAATATTTTAACAGAGCCAATCTGACATAAATTCAAACAGATATTAACTCCTGGATTTTTAGGAAGGGTTTTTGATACAGGTCACAGGAGCTGGGATGACCAGTTTAAACCCTCAATTAACAGTAGTCTTTCATCTATTTTCTATCTATTTCTATCTTTCTCATCTATTTAATGAGTTTTTCTCATTAGTATTTTCTGGGTGGGAGATTGTGCTGGAATCATGTGCTTTGGGGTATTTTACAGGAATGTTCTTGGGAGAAGTGCTTAAAATAAGTGATGAGTTTAGATTTCCTGATATTCCCTCCTAGTTAGGTAGGCTTGTCCTTCAGCATTTCTCAGTTTCTGAGGAGTTTGTATTGGCAGGAGATGTTAATAATCTCTAATATTGTCCATTTGCTATTCAAAGTGTTCACTTTTAAGTAATGGATGTGTGGAAAGTTGTTTTTGCAAGTTATCTCATGGAGTGTTACAGTAGTAGAAAGAAATCAATTGCTTGGGATTGGGAGGTTGTTATCAAGGTCCAGGATTTGCCTGTAATCCAACCCCAAGTTGTCCTGTATACAAAATTTTCCATCCTTATACTTCTTTTTTTTTAGTTTATGAAAAAATTTCTGGTTGTTATTTTTTAAAATCTTTATTCAGTGTCTTTTGCTTGTCTGGAATAATACTTTGTTAAACCAGTGTATCCTGTTTCCTCCCCAGCTGCATTCAAACTAATTTCCTATTACATATTTGAAAAAGGCTTTAATATTAAGCAAAAGTTTAAATGAGAGCTGCATTCTGAAAACCATAGCTGGAAAACAAAAGCACTGTGGAAATGCTCTTTGGGGTGGGGAAGAAATCTGGTAAGGCTGTGATAAGAAAGGTAAGGAGTAGCTGGCTGGGTAGCAGAGCCTTCAGGGATGTTTATGACAGGAGCAGAGCTGAGATGTGAATAGTTCTGAAATGGAAAATACCAACAAAATCTTAATCATGAGGTACACTTGTGTGTTTTAAAGACCTCCTTGTTTTAAACTTACTACTTTGATTAGTCATGATCATCAATAATGGAAGTGGGGACTGGTACACCAGTGTAAATGTGTTTAATTTAGGAGGTCTGTGGAATGGAAACTTGCCAAGAGGGGTCTTGCTGCAAGCTGCACTGTGCTCGTTGTTGTGCACTGGGGCTCTGGGATGCAGCTTGGACACTGCATTGTGTGTGTTCCTCTGCTGGCTGCAAGGGTTGATCTCCTAGGAAGAGAGCTGTCCACTGGGATGGCTCACCGTGCAGGTGAGTTAACCAAGAGACACACTGCAGCACAGGGAAGCAATTTTTCTCCAGTTAATTTGAGAGTGTTATACCTCTTGTTTAACAACAAGGTGCCTCATGGTACTTTGGAGTTGTCCCAGAGGTCATCTGAAAGAGGATGCCAGGTCTAGTTTTGTTTCAGGTACCTCTCTTGAGAGGCTGTAGGAGCAGTTGTTTGCTGCCAGGAAGATAAAGCAGCAGCAGGGAGGTAAAGAGTGAATGGAGTCTCCTGCAGACATGAGGAAATGGAGAGCAGGGACATTTTGCCTGCAGCTAGTTGTTATTCTTGTAGATATATGTCCAAGTGACGTGGATTTATTTTCCTTTTAAGTGTAGCACACACTTTCTAAGGCACCTTTCATTTGTTATGGCTGCCATGATCCTCTGGAAGATAAGTTTGACAGCTTGTGAAGATGTAGCTTCAGAAAGGTTCCTAGACTGTAGAAAGAAGACTTTAGGAGGTGACACAAGGGTGTGATCAGCATGCTTGGAAGTCTGGCAACAGCTGGCACCAGCAGGCATCCTACACCTCCATAAAGAGGCAAAGGGAGTGGGACTGTTCTGCCAGAGACCAGGTCACAACTCCTTCTGGATGCTGCTAAAATCCTTAAGCTTAAGATCTTCTGGAATCTGACCTGTGCAAAATTGCAGCAGAGGTGTTCTCCTACTTCTGGAATTAGTCTCAAACCTGCTAAGCAAAAGGAGGCACACAACAATTTCAGACTTTAAGGAGCTCTTGAGAACATTCTTTCTACTCTTACAGCAGTAGTGGAATTCTTGTGGAAATATGAGACAGTTTGCTTTAAAACAGATGGCATGTGCAATAGGAAAGGCAAACAGTAAGGAGAAACTAAGGTAATTTCAGTACATATGGATTGTTGATTTATTTTAGTTCATGGGGTTTTTTTTAATGCTGACAGGGAAGTCTCTTGTTTGTACTCTGTTCCTCGTTGGAGAAAATTCA